ATACGTACTACAAGTGCACAATCCAACTATAATGTGCATCAAATGAGATTCTAAAAGAAATACCGTTTTGGCAGCAACAACTACCTGTTAAAGACAGGCAGGATACCATGCTCATAAACACACCGTAACTTGATGGCAAATCTCCAAAACGATCTGAAAACAAACAAAAGAATCATCAACACTCCAATTGAGACGGATGCAGTAGATAACCTGCATCATAACATACATACAGCATCAATACCAAAGCAAAGGGAACTCGATGCTTCACCTTTTCGGTATTGCTCCATTTATTCTAAAGAAGGCAACCATTACATATTTATTTAGTTTCACTAAATCTCTAATATTAGTCTCAACTCTTTTGACTGTAAAGCTTTAACAAATTAAATTATTATTCACCATTCACTTTCTAAATTATTATCCATTTCGTATGGACTAAATTACAAAATTTGTCTGCATTACCTTTAAGAGGAAAAGAACACACACACACACACACACGGAAGACTCGAATAGAAAATCTTGATCGTAGAGAATGCCTTTTACCATAACTAGAAAGTGACTCAAAAATTAAATCCAATTCCTGTGTGAAGCAACTTAACAACAAGGAATTGCTAAATTGGTCTTTGAATCTTAAAGCAACAATCGTAAAGTCTACTACATTCAAGATCAGTGCAAAAGAAGCATATCTTTCACAGTATTCACTAGTTTCAACTTTCAAGTACCAACATGTGCATTCCAGAAATTTGGTTTTGACAACTGACTGAGCATGCATAAAACATATATGTCCAACTGCATAACGAACATAAAACAGAGAGAAAATAATGTTGCCCAGACACAACTGAACAAACAACATTTTTTTTACAGAAAGTAGTAGAGGGTTTCAGATAATTCCAACAATCTGGTCACACACTTTCATTGTTCTCCATGATGATTATGGACCATGAGTTAGCAAGACAGACAAGGTTCACATCACATACCAAGCCATTTACTTCTTTCTCTTCCTCTTTCAGAAGAGGACTCTCTAAGAACGTGCTGGTGACCTTTTCCGTTCGACTGCTGCATGTTGAGGCAGAAGGAGATATTCTAGAAGCTACAGTTTCAGGAGATAAAATTGCAGCTCCCTTTCCATGGCTGCCATCAGGCATGTCACCAGGAGCTTTCTTTGCGATGCTCGCAATGGTTCCAACCGGACTTGAAATTGAGGGTTCATTTCCCATACTCAGGCCACCAGGAAAGACACCTTGTATCGATGGCAAATGTGAAGAAATGTCAGAAAGGGGATGAAAAAACAACATTACATGAATTTTGAGCTAATCTAACAATCAACTGCTCCAATTCAATTTCAACTTCTTTTTTCTAGCTAATCCAACAAAATCTCCAAGTAATCCAATTCAATCCATCCCACTTTTCTTCAAGAGTGACCCAGATTTACCAAGTTCCCTTACAATATCACTGAATATTACGATTTTGATCATTTTTCTTATCATCAGTATCCACTTTCACCAAGTTGTCACGAGTTCAATGCTAGCTTAAATCTCAGCATCAGAACTACGCGATTACCATTACCAATTTCTCGATTTAAGGTGGCATTTCCCTTAGTTTAAGTATCAAAATGAGCTCAACTATTACTTAAAACTCCAAGCACAAGATTCAGATGAAAATAATCAAATTCAAAGAAATTTTGAACCATTAAAAATATAAGAGTGAACCTCAAAACAAGTCATCAACCTTTAATATATTTCCATTCTAGGTCATCAATTAAATTTATTTGTAACACAGGTTACCTTACTAAAGTTTTAATCTATTTCAGATTATTCTATTAATTTTGGTTGTTAAATAGTGACGGAAATCCATTTCTCACATGCTTTTGGGTTCAGGGGTATTTTTATCATTTTATTATTTTTTTAATTTTTTGATCTTTTAAATTTTTTTTTTTTTACAATTCTTCTTCTTATACTTCGTAACTTGTATACACTGGTAGTAAAATTCTAAATTTTAAAAATTTAATTTCTTTTTGTATTTTAACTTCTAGATTATAAAATTTTTTTAAAAAAAATTTAAGAAATGAAGAAGAAAAATTCGAGTTAAAGTAAACATGAAAATTAGGTAGATGCAAGAGCCATCATAGTTCCCAACGAATCTTTTTGTGCTTTCCTCTTTTTCCTTTTTGGAAAGGAAATCACAGAAAGATTTGGAGGGGGGAGAGGGGGGGGGGGGTTTAAAAGCTTCAGCTTTGCGAAGACTCTAATAACGCTTTCAATCACAAATTCTTAGGAAATGAAGTTATATCAAGTGAGCAGCAGAAGGGGTAAGAAAATAAAGTAAGCTCTCTGCTATGACCCACAACTTCCATCTACAAGATTAGGTTGCTCCAGGAGTACTACTCTATAAATCACTTAAATACAGTGCAACAACCAAGAAACTCCAAGAAGATGTTCAAAGGAAACTCCTTTTTTCCCTTTTTTGACTTCAGCTTAACAAAAAGAAAAGGCAAATATTCAACGAAACTCAATTCAACTCCTCAACAAATAACAAACAAGTCTTCTCCTCAATAATCTGGTAGACAATATCAATTAAAGTAATATAATGAAAGAGAAAAAAGGAGAATCCAACATTTTGAATCTCAGTCTTACCTTTTACTTTTTTTCTCTTCAAAGCTTCAATTTTCAACAAGTAGACAAAAATTCACCATCAAATCAACTCAATGAATCAAGAGAGGAAAAAAAAAACCACCATGCAGGAACAACCCACCTCAGAAAATGAATCAAAGAACGATTCCGACAATAATTAACAAAAATGAACCATCCGTGAACACATGTAGTACCTGAAAATTCAAGAAATGGGCTCAATTTTTTTCTCCCTTTTTCTTTATTCAACTTCTGGAACGTTTACCACGAGCTTGAGCTAATTCAGCTATGCAAAACTTTGATAATTGAAGTTGTGGGTTTCGGTTAAGGTGTTTGATTTTTTTTAGTGAAGAAGATCGAAAAGAATAATTGAAGAAAGAAGGGAGATCTTTTATATATGGGAAAAAAATTGAGGTCCATCTGGAGAGGTCAGCGACGAAGAAGAGAAACTCAGGCAAATAAATGATTTCGGACTCAAAGAGCAGCTTCTTTTTGCTAACTGGGGCCACACCTAAAATTCTCCAAATTTAAGAAAAAAAAACCCATCAAAATTGGTCATTATTTAGTACTGGGTAAGTCTTCAATTATGTAGATATGGACTCAAACTGGAGTAATTGAAAGTGAATATGAGTATACATACCTTCATGCATGAAACTCTGCCACCGTTGCTAGCAATCGAGGTAATGTCGACTGATTATTTGGTGACGTCGGCGGCCGACTTGAGACCGGTGAAAGGAGCAGCCATGGTGGCTCCGGCCATGGTGGCAACAGCAGCAAAGAGAAGAGATGGGGAGGAAGTAAGGGGCGGGAGTAGAATAGTAAAGGATGAAATGATGTAACCACAAAGTCAAAATCCTATTCGAAGAAATTGCAATCTTGAATAAATTCTGAAGAAACCATGAAAGAATCCACCGATCAATAATTCCATAAGACACCATCTCGGGTAATTTCTGGAAGACCTCCGGACAGAAGGGTTGAATTAGAATCACGGGTAGAACTTGTGAGCTGTCCGGAGATTCTGTCTTGGTAAGAAGCGGACAAACGGAGCAGACAAGAGTTTTGGAGAGGGGAAAAAGAAATGCCCGCACCCGTGTGAAAAGAAGGACGAACGAAGTTCGCACGTGAGAAGCTTTGCCAAATGGCCGGACGAACGAAAATATGTGGAGTACCCTTCACACATTAGATATAACTTTATAATAATTGTAGAATGTATATCACTATTTTGTAGTCCTTCATTTATTTTGCCAAAAGCATTTTTGTGAAAAACATGTTCTCCACTATGTTTCATTTTTAATCCATTCATTGTTGTGTTAATATTATGATAGTAAATTATTCATTATTTGAGTGTTAAATTGACATTTTAATAGTTCGTTAGACATATTTTTCTAGATTTCTTCACTTTTGATTCCTTTTTCATTAAGTTATTTTTTAATTTCTCATTTAATAGGTGAATTTGATCGATCACCTTTTCAAATTTCTTAGTATATTTCTTCTTTTTTTTAAAAAAAAAAATTTAATAGGTTCATCAATGATAGTTTGAAAAATTATTTCATAATTCACTACAATTGTAAGAATATAGCCACATTTCTCCCTCTTTTTTTTAGTCTTTGCTATGCTTCACGATCTCTCCATCATAAGTTTGTTGAAGGTAATCATCTTTCATTGTTCAACTCCATCTCTTTCTATCTTTTTTTTTTAGAATTTAATTTTTATCTTTGATTTGTTGTTTTTTTAGCTATTGTGTTTTAATTTTGATGATACAAAAACTCGCTTGGATTTTATTACTCATTGTACATGTCCATTTATATATATATATTTTTTGGTACATAACCAGAATACTTTGTCGCTTTTGTTAAAATCAGAAGTGATATTTTAGTAGTACAATATTTTTGTAGCTATTATAATGGACAATTGTGTGACTCATTATTTTTCTATTAATAATAATTTAATTTTTTCCCATTATATAATTTGTACTATGTTTGTATATATACGGTACGGCGCTAGACGCCGTTCAATTCATCTAGTGGTACAGTAACAATTTTTGGTGAATGAATGAATGAATCTCGTAGCGGATCACCGTCGGCGTAAATACACCAGCCCGAACACAACAATGTCCAACTAATAATTAGCATTAATTAAGAAAATACTAAGAATTGAATAATAAGCTGAAAATTCTAAAAATACAAAAGTCAAAAAGATTCCAAAACTCCTTTCAACTCCCCCAACTCTCTTTCTCTAGTCTTCTCTGTTCTTCATCTCCCTCCAAAGATTCTCCATTTTGTTCAAATCGGTCAGTCAAATCCACCACAAAAGTCTACCATCATCATCATCATCTTTGTGTTTTGATTTCTTTTTAATCAGACAATCATCATCATCATGTATCGTACTTCCAGTACAACTAGATTCTCCGACGAGTTCTTCCCTGCTGGGACCAATTCAGCAGCAGCTGCAGCTATGTCCTCTCCGGCAACCACCGCCGCCACCTCGGACTTGGACCATTTGCCTACGTACAACCCTTTGTCTCACGTTGCCAAGAAAGAGAAACATCGTTTCAGATCTGCTGAAAACGCCATTCATCTCATTCCCCTGCTGCTTGTGTTCTGTGCCATCGTTTTGTGGTTTTTCTCCAGCCCAGGTAAGCAAACGAAGCAGATTTGGCCCTTTTCTTTATTAAAGTTTTTAGCTTTTGCATATAATCTTGTTTCTTTTGTGTTTTGGGAATCTTTTTGCTTAGTTCTTGAAAATATTTTGCGCTGCAGTAAGCTTTTATTCTGCGTGAACATTGTCTTATTGTCTGAAAGATTAGCACTTCCGATTGGAGTAGGATCAATTATTGTAATAACCCCTTTAGATGTTTGTACTGATTAAATATGCATTGGCAGTATTCGAGGGAATTTGTTAAAATCATGAATTACATATTGACTTATACATTCTGACACAATAAATCTATCTTGTAGCTGATGACTACGAAGAAATTAATATATTTTGGTCCTAGTTATCAATTATTATGTAGCCTTAATTGTTTCGGATCCATCAAATTTAAGATTTTCTTCCTCATTTGAAAACAAATGTGATTTCGTAAGTAACAGGACGGATCATAGTATTTTTCTCTAGCCTTTTTGCCTTTCAACTTCTTTCGCATAACTTGTATGAGATTTGAGTTGTAGTTGGAATTTAGCCACTAAGTATTCCTTGCCGTGGAGCTTGTTAGTGCTTTTACAATTTCTTTGTCCATCCGTTTTCTGTGTATTTTCGTTTTGACCCTGTCTAAAGGTATTAGAAAGTATATTGCTTTAACAGATGAAGTAAACTGCTGCTTGGCTTAGCTCCTTTCAAAGTTCATTGCGGTGTTTTGTCATATTTCAATTCGTTTATTGCGTAAATTACTCATCAGGATGGAATAATAATATGCAACTAGTTACGTTGGAAGAGAAGAGTACATGGTTTACCACTAAGCTTTGGCCAAAGGCCAATTAAGTGTCTGCTGCATTGGTTCTTGTCAAATTATTTTGACGTTTGAAATTCCAAAAGGGTTAAACTCTGGTTGGGCACTTTTTTAAGATGAACCTTGTTCTACCTTCACCAAACCCTGGGACATGTTTCGTGTTGGTTTATCGTTTTGTATTCTGCTTTCATTTCGATTGTATGGTGTACGCTCGTTCAACTGTAAGTTCTAGTTGAAGTTCAAACATCATAACTAAGCTATAGATTGAGTTTCGTATGTTGCTTATCATGAAGATGATGTCGAAACCCTTGAACGAATTCAAAAGTTTTGAGGTCATTTATACTTTATTCTGCAGTTGATATGGTGAATGAAAGTGGTTCCCTTGTTGCCAGAGTTGGAGGGTCGTTGACTAATGCGGGTGGTGATACAAATAGCAGTTGGGAGTCAGATTCGGAAAAAGAAGATGTAGATGCAGTTAACCAATCCACAGATTTGGATCAGAAATCTATTAGATGACAGGAAAAAGCCTCAATGATTCTACAGACAGTCTGCAGGAATCTGCATCTATGTTGTATTTTTAATAGCATAATACTATAACTTTTACCAAAAAAGTGACTTCATATAGAATTTGTTTCAATCAAGTCCCCATACATGCTAGGAATGGCAGTGTGTATTTATTGCAATAGAGGTGAAATTTAGTTCTTTATACTATAGTAACTACAGTTAAAGGATGTTACAAGTTTGGATCAAAATTTTAAAGGTATACACTGAGTTGCCTGTTGTAGCAGACATTTTCGTCTATATGATTTGACATACGATAACAGTAAACAAAATGCTGATAACTGTATTTTCCCTTTACGCAATTGCAATTTTCATATTCTCTCATGTTTCTTTCGTCAGCAAAGGTTCAAACTTGAAATTTGTGTGTCCCAACATTGAGCCAGGTTTAGCTAGCTTAGGTACAAGAATATTGTCCCGCAATGCACAAACTAGGGAACTCTCTGACTGCATCACTCTCCCTGCTATATATGCCCGGATCGTCATTCCAAATACACGGCGCCACCTTTCATTCTTGTAACATCTGAATGCATCTTCTACAGAGAGGGGGTTTTCAGACTGCAGAGCCTTCGCGAGCCTCTTGGATAGAAAAACAGCGTCCTCCAATGCACAGCAAGCACCTTGTCCGAGGTTTGGGGTCATTGGGTGCCAAGCATCACCAAGAAGAACAACCTTTCCGCTTGAAGCTGAAGGGGTTAACACTGGCCATAGCCATCTGTCCCCAATGGGAGTACTTATCATGGTTTCATCTGGAGTTTCATCTATAATTTTCAACAGTTCGGAGGGATAATTCTTGACTAGCTTTTTACTTTGCTGTCTTAACACGGACGGATCTACAGACTCTGTACCTGTGAACAGACAATTCATCTTCAGCTTCAACTAAACATCCAATTCAGGAAGTCATTTTTACTACTGCTTTACTTTAGGCAGAACGTGTTTAATCTGCTTTATGATACAGTCAAACTTTGATATGTTGAAAATCTTCTCTTGATCAATAAGACTGAAACACGCAGAAGATCATGAACAAAAAAGTGTGATTTAAAACATATGCTGTGTAAACCTGGATATGGGCTGTTGAAGCAGATGAACCAGTAGACCTTTGTTGGAGAAACTGGAACATATCCAACTCGACTACCTTTTCCATAAATATATTCCACCCCCGGTTCATATGGTTGGCCTCCAGGGAATATTGCGAGGCCACGAATTGCGCAATAACCAGCGTATTTTGGCTCTGTAAAACCCATCCATTTAGCCACTGGGGATCCAATACCATCACAGGCGACAACCACCTGTTCAAAACCACAACTTCCGGTTATCAAGGACGTTGGGTTTGAAAAATGGGGCAAACAGGAAGTTTTCTTTTAAGTTTTATATTTCGCCCCTTCGTCTCCAGGTTTCACGGTGTATTCTTGTTTAAAAGAGAATGTATGAGTTCTGGATTAGGGTAGTAATGTTATCAATTGAACAACGCCATTTCACTTTTAAGATTCATAGATTAAACTTCTTACCTTGGCGGATACTTTGCTACCATCATGAAGTTTCAGTAAAGTGTCTCCATTTTCTTGCTTTTCGATACTGGCCAGCTTTGAGGAGAAAGAAATGGCATCTTGAGGGAGCTGATTCGCCAGTGTTTCAACTAAAATTTTCCTCTCCACAGCACGAACTTCTTGGCTGATTCATTTCTCATCAATGCATTACTCAGTAAACTCAAAAGAAGTGAATTATATATGTATGTAGCAAGTCTGAAAAACTAGGGAAATTTGATGATGAAGTACCTTGGATCTGCATCTTTGAAATTAAAGAACTGCATTTCCTTGCCTTGTTGTGATTTTATCCTCGCCCTGTTCAGCAAAATGTAATAGATTGAAAGAAAAACCTTATTTTTCTCCTTTTCTTTTATGGAAAAGATTACAGTTACTTGGCCTAATTAGAGACTAATGAAACGAACCATTGAATTTCAAGGAAATGGCTCCTGAGTTGATTGCCAACTCCGATTACATCCAGAGCACCCCATCCATTTTTGGACAAGGTTAATGAGGTGCCTCCTGTTCGTAAGGAATCTGCTTGCTCTAGAACCTTCGACTTAATCCCAAGCCTAAAAACACACACACACACACAGAGTCCAATGATGAATGATCCAATCACAAGAACAAGATATGTTGTAAACATACATATATATAGAAGAGTCAGCTGAAGTTTTGGTAAATGTCAAAAGAAAAACCTTTCAAGTGAAACGGCAGTGGCAAGTCCACCAATTCCAGCTCCAACAATCACGACGTCTTCCTTTACATAATGGTCGTCAGCCTTTTGGGCTTTAATGGTTGAAGAAGATCTTGTTCCGGTACCAAGAAATGCATTCTGGCAGGAAGGTCGCAGAAAAGCAGAGTTAACATTCATTTTCTTTGTAGCTAAACCAATGCATGCCATTTGCCAGTAACTGACGGTTGGGTTGAAACTCTTTTTGAAGGCAGAGAGAGTCTCAGAGAGAGAGAGGAAGAGAATCATTAATTTTGTCAACAAAAGCGTTTGCTATGTATATATACATATATATGCAGAAGAAGGTTGGAGTGAAACTTCACTACGTAATTAGTTTGACTGGTAAGCCCAAGTGTTTTTTTGTTGTCCCTTTATCTTTTCCTCGTTCTTTCTTATGGTATTTGTTTGGAATTTTGTCATCTCTGTGGAAAATCTGGTTGAATTTTCCTCGATTTGATGTTTACCGGTGACAAAATTACGTGCTAAAATTTGCGCTCTACAACTGTATTAGTGGCGGCTAATTTTAAGGTTCTGTGATGGATAAAGATGTGGTTATTGGCCTATTTGGGAATAATAGTTTGATCAACAAGTAAATCTTTTCATAGCTGACTTCAACTGTATACTGTTTTTTCATTGCTCCCAGACAAGGTTTGAGCCCAATCTAGTGCTTAACTGATGCCACCGCTCGTTCTGGTACCATCTGAATGCATCTTCAACAGACAAGTTTTCAGACTGCACAGCATATGCAAGCTTCTTGGATACAACTACAGCATCCTCCTCCAATGCATAGCCAGCATCTTGGCCGAGATTCGGGGTCATCGCGTCCCAAGAACATTCTTTCATTTGAAGCTGGAGGGGTTATCACTGGCCATAGAGCCATCTGTCCCCTCTAGGATTTTCTTATCATGGTGTCATCAGGAGTGGCATCTATTATCTTCAACATGTCAGAAGGAAAATCCTTTACAAGTTCTTTTGTTTGCTCCCTTAACTCGGACGGATCTATGGTCTTAGGACCTATGTAAGCACACACCTGTTCTTCAGCTTCAAACAAACACATTATTCAGGTAAATTCCATTTCAACTGTCAGATCTATATGAACATTTTTATCCAGATGATTTACTTTTAGACTGTACTGAGTTTGTTTTATCATGTCGATAGAGTGATTTGGTAAAAGTCTTTCTCATGATCAGATTAGACAGAAACATATAGAAATAAGCATCATGAACAACATGTGAGGTTAACCTGGCGATGATCTGTTGAAGCAGATAAACCAATAGACCTTCCTTAGTTGGAGTAATTGGAGCATATCCAGCTTGAAATCCCTGTCCATAAAAATATACCGCTCTCTGTTCAAATGGTTGGCTCCCGGGGGAATAGTCCAACTACGCGAACTGCACAATAACCAGCATATTTGGGCGCTGTAAATCCCATCCATTTAGCCACTGGGGATCTGATTCCATCACAGGCAACTACCACCTATTATCAAGGACGGGTGAAAATGTAGCCAATAAGATTATCTACATTGCATGTTCAGTATTCAGGTTTCGTGGCGAAGTCTTGTCAAAACAAAGAGTTTATACATTTTTAGGTTATGTTATGAGCAATACATCGTCATTTCTCCAATAAGACACAAGTGTCTTGGATCAATCAAGCTAACCTTGGCCAATAACTTGCTACCATCCTGAAGTTTCACTCGAATGTTTCCATTTTCCTTCTTTTCAACACCGGCCAGTTTTGTGGAGAAAGAAATGGCATCTTCTGGGAGCTGATTTGCCAGTAGAATTTTCCTTTCCACACCATGGAGTTCTTGGCTGTATTCATTTCTCATCCATAAATGTCGTAGCATAACTTGAATTAAAACCTCCCTCAGTAACAAAATTAGAGTCATGTTTGTCATAATTATTTTATATACTACTTTGGATGATGATGGATTGAAATGAATCGATCTCATGGTTTAACTCGATGTTTCATTTATCTTGTACTGTATTTACTTGTACTCACGAGAAACAAAATAATCGAATGTAATTCTCGTGTCATCATTTACTTAAGAAAGGTTCAAACTCAAAATTGGTGTGTTCCAACATGGGTCCAAGTCTAACCAGCTTAGGAATGACAATGTTGTTTCTGGCAGCACAAACCAAGGGATTATCCAACTGCAGCAGTGTTCCTACTGCATTTGCCCGTATCGTCAATGGAAAAACACGTCCCCATCTTTCATCCTGGTAAGATTTGAATGCATCTTCAATAGACATTGTTCCAGATTGCAGGGCTTCTGCAAGCTTTTTGGATAAGACTATGGAATCCTCCAGTGCACAGCAAGCGCCTTGTCCGAGGTTCGGGGTCATCGGGTGCCAAGCATCACCAACAAGAACAACATTTCCATTGGAAGCTGGAGGAGTTACCACTGGCCATAACCATCTGTCCACTAAAGGAGTTTTTATGATCGTGTCATCTGGAGTTGCATCAATTATGTTCAATAGGTCTGATGGCCAATCCCGGACTAATTCTTTTGTTTGCTGCCTTAATACTGCAGGATCGGTGATCTTTGGCCCTGCACATGGTCAATTTTACAGTTAGATCTGTTCTGCATTCTGCCATACAGATTTATTCACTCTCCAAGGGTAAATTATTAGGGGTTGGGGATACAAGAAGGATATGATAACTACATGAAAATGCGAGGCAAACCAATTCGAAAAACAAGTTCCCACTAATGCAATTGCAGAAGTGACATCTTTAAGTCTCAGGCAACACATATACAACACAAAAATTAGAGCCTAACACAAAAATTGACACCCCGCGATTAACGAATAAGAAACAATAAGACCTAATTGATACCTTGATTAAGTTATGTATTCTGTTTCAGGGGATGGTTAGAAACAAGGCAGAGCAAGGCTAAACAAATAAAGTGTACCTGGAGATGAACTGTTGTAGCAGATGAACCAATAGACCTTAGTTGAAGACACTGGAACAAATCCAGCACGTATTCCTTTTCCGTAGATATAATTGACTCTCTGTTGAAATGGTTGTCCGTTCGGGAACACTCCCAATCCTCGAAATGCGCAATATCCGACATATTTAGCATCTGGAAATCCCATCCATTTAGCCACTGGAGATCTGATCCCATCACACGCAATCACCACCTGTTGATCAGAATCCATCAGGGATCAATCGGGAATCCAATAATTCAATTCAGTTTAGAGAAAAAGGAGATAGGTTAGGCCTTACCTTGGCGGATAACTGGTTACCATCCTCAAGTTTAAGTATAGTGTTCCCATCTTGTTTCTTTTCCATATTAGCCAGCTTTGAGGAGAAAGAAATGGCATCTTGTGGAAGCTGATTTGCAAGTGATTCAAGTAGAATTCTCCTCTCCACAGCACGGACCTCTTGGCTGATCAATTTCTTCAAGAATTAGTACAACTCAAACAAGGTAAAAAGCCAGGACAAGTAATATGAACATAAAACACACAAAGTTTACCTTGCATCCACATCTTTGAAGTTAAAGGACCGCAGCTCCTTTCCATCTTCTGATTTAATCACCATCCTGAAAAGCTGGTAACATGAAATTAATAGTTGGGAAAAGTAAAAAAAAGCATTTCCTTTTAACAAACAGATAACGGGCATGTGTTCAAAACCAGCATACCCCTGAATTTCCAGAAATTGGCTCCTGAGTTCAGTCCCAACTCCAATGGCATCCAGCACACTCCATCCATTCTTGAAAAGGGTCAATGAAGTTCCACCAGTTCGAAGCGAATCTGCTTGCTCAAGAACTTTACACTTAATCCCCATCCTACAAAAGCAAAATATCCACCAAATGAATCAACAGTCCACTATTACAAAAGCAGAGCAGTTAAAAGTTCAGTTGAAACTTGAATTATGTACTTTTCAAGTGAAACAGCAGTGGCTAATCCGGCAATCCCAGCTCCGATAATCACTATATCTTCCTTCTTGACGGCATTATCATCATCATCCGGTTTTAGAGCTTTAATGACTGGAAAAGAATTTGTGATTTGCACCCTTTTAATGGAGGGGAAATGAATCCGATTCCCTTGGTATGAAGAAGGTATGAAAAGGGGTGACCTCAGGAATTGATGAGGAGATTTACAGATGAACGCCATTGATGATCTTTGCTTCTGAGTTATGGAATTTGCAGTTAAGAACTTAAGATTAAGGACCAAGCGAGCTAACGTAGTTCGTTAAACAGAGAGCAAGTAGTGGTTGATATTCAATGTTTGAAAAATATATTCAATAAATTTTAAGAAAATTATAAATACTTCGTTATTTAACGTGGACCAATATGTTACAGAAGGTTTCCTCTTTTGGGCTTATCCCGTCCACATACACCCAGGCAGTTTTAAAAACGATAATGGGAAACAAAATCGAACCTTAAGATTACGAATCCGGTTCTAGTTTTAGAACCGCATGTTTTGGTTTGGTTATGATTCAGTTTTGGTTCTGACATGCAACAGTTTTTTTTTAGTACAACTCATGTATGTATGCAACAGTTTTCTTGTGAGTTTTATGTTGAGTTTTAAAATCAAAAATTTAAATTTTCATTTAGATTCGATTTGTTGTCGGTTTTCATGTGATTTTATGAACACTTTTATAATTTTGAGTTATTAAGACATTTTTTTAATGAAATATCTTATTGAATGTAAAGAATTAAATTAAATCACAAGTGTATGAAAAAATTTTTAGGGAACACTTGTCAACCTACACTGTAGTATCAACTATCAATGACGCTATTTATTTTCTTCTATCAACTTATTCTTTTAATTAAAAATGATAATTAATCATTGTTTCTAGAATTAGACACGAGATATGTCAAGCACGTACATGTCATAACAATTTTTAATTTTTTCTTATAAAATTATATTAACCGACGGCTTAGTTGCCGGTTAAAACCGTGAGTTAGAACCGCCGGTTTTCAGTTTCCTAAACAATACAACCATAACCAAATATTCATTATGTGGTTCGGTTATGGTTCTTAAAACGTCAATTATGATTACGGTTATAAAACTGTACCCGACGGTTTGGTTTCGGTTACAGCCGGAACCACAGACATGCCTACATACACCATATTAGGAGAAAAACAAAAATAGAGAAAAACAACAGGAAATTAGAAGTTCATCAAGTACGAGCTAGTTAGAATGATGCGTATCATCACTTTAAGTGTAGGACCAATGAAAAAGAATTTTAAAAACTTTTCATGAATAATAAAAAAATACTAGTAAAGAGAAGATATAAAAACTAAAATAAAATGTACGACTTTTGTAAATGAAGAATAAGAATCTCTTAAGCCAATAAGCCGTAACAGTGATATATATGTGTGTACCAGAATTAGTAGGCATGCTATTGTGACATACATATTTCTTCCGGTCTTTAATATAAGAAATTTTGATTTATCCTATGTTTCACATAGTATGTATCTTTAATTGACAAAAAAATACTAAAAACATATTTTCACAACGATGTGTTCTCTTGATTGTTATAAAATATTTTTAAAATTTTTTTGTCAATTAAAAATGCGTACTAGGTAGAACCTAGGACAAATCAAAATACCTTATATTAAGGACCAGAGGGAGTACTCAACAAGGAAATCTTATACTCCCTCTGTCCCTACATTATTATCTAGTTTGGATTCATTTTTAATTCAATATGAACTAAAATGAAAATTCAAATTGGACAATATTTCGAGATAGGGAAGTATTTATTTTAGTGTTGTATCTAATTACAACAACAACAACATACACAGTATATTTCCAACTCGGTCGGAGTCTGAGGGGTCAAAATGTACGCAACTTTATCCTTGTATTTCATTACAGAGAGACTGTTTAAGTAGTACGACTCAAGATGCATTGGTGCATTGATATATTGATTTCCGATAATTTCACCAAATTAAGAAGCGTCGGAATTTAAATGAGCCATTTTGATCTAATTCATTATTGAAAAGATGATTGTCTATCTTATTTACATGATACATTGTGATATATATATATATATATATATATAGTACAATAGTGTAAAACCCTAGCCGTCTATCTAGGAAACCCTAATTAGAGTTTCGAGTTTTATATATTCTATCACCCCCCGCAATCTTAGCAGAAGGAGTAATCATGCCTAGATTGGTTCTAAACGAATAAAATTTATATTTTGCTAAGGATTTGGTGAAGACATCGGCGAGCTGGGACTGTGTGGAAATATGAACACGGAGAAGACCAGCAGTAACACGTTCACGAACAAAATGTATGTCTAGACCAATATGTTTGGTGCGAGCATGATGAACTGGATTTGCAGCTAAGTATGTAGTAGAGACATTATCACACAAGATGGCCAGGCGCTGGGAAAGCATGATGTGGAGTTCAGACAAAAGATTCTCCAACCAGACAGTTTCATCCAAAGCAGAAGCAACTGCACGATACTCAGACTCAGCAGAAGAACGAGAAACGGTAGTTTGTTTCTTGGAAGACCAGGAAACCATAGATGACCCCAGGAAGACATACAAACCAATTGTAGAGCCACGAGTAGTAGGGCATCTCGCACAATCAGCATCAGAATATGTAACAAGGCGACCAAGAGGCCCAGGACGGAGATGAATGCCATAGTGAAGGGTGCCCTTAATGTAGCGAAGAATATATTTGACCGCCTGAAAATGCTGCTCGCGAGGATCATGCATATGTTGACAGACAAGATTAACCGCATATTGAATATCCGGTCTAGTGAAGCTAAGATATTATAAGGCAACCACCAAGCTCCGATAGAGAGTCAGATTATGGAAAGATGGAGACGCATCAACAGAAAAACTGAAAAGCCGGAGCAAGTGGAGTAGCAACTGGATTGGCATTAGTGAGATGACTGCGAGCTAGCAATTCCTCAGCATACTTTCGCTGGTGTAAAAACCATCCACCAGAGTGAGGAGTAACCGAAACGCCAAGGAAATAGCTGGTAGGACCAAGATCCGTCATGGCTTAACCTCCTTTCAGTGACTGGATAATAGTAGTGAGGAGACGATTGCTGGATGCTATTAATGGAATGTCATCAACATAAAGTAACAAAACTGCCATATCAGATCCAAAAGAATACACAAACATGAAAGAGTCCGAGCGACTACCTTTAAAACCTTGTGTAAGCAGAAAAGCAGTAAAACGATGAAACCAAGCCCTGGGAGCCTGCTTTAAGCCGTAAAGAGCTTTGTTCAATTGACAGACATAGTGAGGATGGTCTGAATGAACAAAACCAGTAGGCTGTTTCATATAGACAATTTCATTAAGATGACCATGCAAAAAAGCATTTTTAACGTCCAACTGATGAACGGGCCATTTTCGAGAAGCAACAATACTTAAGACAGTCTGAATTGTCACTGGTTTAACCACCGGACTAAACGTTTGGTTACAATCAAGCCCATGCTTTTGTTTGTAGCCTTGAGCAACCAAACGTGCCTTACATCTATCAAGAGAGCCATCTGATTTTAACTTGACTCGAAAAATCCATTTGGAGCCGATAATATTAGCAGAGACAAGAGGAGGGACTAAATCCCAAGTATGATTAGTGAGGAGAGCATTATATTCGTCACTCATAGCGGCATGCCATTCAGGGTATTTATTGGGTTCAGTGAAGGATTTTGGTTCAGTGGGGAGGGAAGAAGATATAGTAGTAGCAGTAAGAGAGTGTATATGCTTAGGTTTATGAGTACTATCACGAGTTCTAGTGACCATATGATGAATAGGGGGATTCGAAAGAGGAGGAACCGAAGTATTTGGCAATGAAATGGAAGGTGCGGGTACAGAAGATACTAAAGGAATGGACGGCTCATGGGTTTGCGAAGGAGAAGCAACCAATGGAGAGGATTTGTATGAAGGGAGAGATAGTAAAATAAGGAACGAGGGATGTTTAAAAGGAGATATTAGAGGATTGTTTTGGGGAACCGAAGAAAGTTGAGGAAATGGGAAATAAGTTTCATCAAAAACAACATGACGGGAAGTATAGACTTTCTTGGAAGCGGGATCAAAACAACGATAACCCTTATAAGATTCGGGATAACCAAGGAAGACACATAGAGCAGAGCGAGGATGGAGCTTATGAGAAGCTAAATGAGAAAGATTGGGAAAACAGGAACACCAAAAAACCCTCAAGGAACCATAGTTAAGTGGATGACCAAAAAGAAGGGAGAAAGGAATAACCCCATTTTTTGATTTAGTAGGTAAACGATTTAACAGTTAGACACTAGTATGTAAAGCCTCTACCCAAAATTCATTCGGTAAGTGAGCTTGATGAAGAAGAGTGCGGACCATATTGATTAGTGTTTTATTCATGCGCCCAGCCTTGCCGTTTTGTTGAGGAGTGTATGGACAAGAGATACGCATTGTGATCCCCTTTCTTTAAGCTATGAAACTCCAATTTCAATTGGAGAAGACGAGAACCAAGCTGATCGTGGAAGAGTTTCTCGATGGTGAGCCACGCGTCGCGGGCGGTAAGGGAAGAATTGGGCCAAACGATTGCTTGCAAAATTTCGGTGAAAACAGTGGCTTGGATCCAGGAGAGGACAATGGAGTCGATTTCGGTCCAAGTTTGAAAAGCGGGATTGGGACTGGAGGAGGAAGAGCCGTCAGAGGCAGGGAAAGTAGACGGAGGACAAGGAACGGAGCTATCAATATGACCAATTACGGTATGGTCGCGAAAGACAGGAAGGAAAAGCTCTTTCTAGAGCATTTAATTTGTGAAATCCAGAACGGGAGTCACATAATTCTTGATGTTAGAGAGGCCAATGGCCAGATGAGAAGGTGGTGGCGGAAGAGAAGAGTTGCCGGAAGTGGCAGAATTGGTTGTCAGGTCCTTGGTTGATGGAATAGCCGTTTGCTGTGAGACAGCAGAGTTCACGGCAGAGTTCGGCATGGCGGCAGGGAGACAAAAGGGTGGCGAAGAGGCCTAAGCTACAAAGAAGAGGATCAAATTGACACCGAACCTAAAGGAAATAAAAAACGATCACTGAAACTGAAAGCTTTAGGCGACGCTATAAACGAAACAGCAACAGAATATTACGCTAAAACAATCAGAAAGCTAACCGGTAGCAAATCAGAACACTACGGATGAGAAAATCAGAACGCGACGCTAAACTGCAGGAGACCGAAACGGAACCAAAACCACTAGAAGTAAACACTAGACCCAGAACAGAAAGCAGGACGCAACGCAGAACCGACCGAAACTGAAAACTTCAGGCTAAGCTAATCAACGAAACAGAAAGATAGCTGCAGCAGAGAGTTGACGCAACAAAGAGGGAATGGAAAAAAAAAGGACGGCAAGCAGAAACCCAAAGACGATCGGAAGAGAAGGGACAGAAGATGCCGACAAGGAAGAGAGGGAAGAAAAATCCGGCGGCAAAGAAACCCTAAGCTAGAGGTTAGCGGTCCAGGAAAGAGAGGTCGAGTGATACCATAAAAGAATGATTGTCTATCTTATTTACTGATACATTGTGATATATATATATATATATATATATATAGTACAATAGTGTAAAACCCTAACCGTCTATCTAGGAAATCCTAATTAGGGTTTTGGGTTTTATATATTCTATCAATATTAGCACAAAACTGAAAAAATTGTCAATAATGATTCTTCCAGCTCTATTTGCAATGGATATAAGCGCGGAGTTAAGCAATATGTAATTTTGGTAAGAGAAAAAATGAAAAACAAAACAGAAAGAAGAGAGAAACGACATGTTCACGATCGAGGAGCTCGACTGCATCTATAGCAAATGGTGCTCATTTATTTATTTATTTATTTTTAAAGAAAAAAATACTATCCACCAAAAAAAATAAAAAAAAATTTGGCTAGAAGTAGAAATGTAAACGTGAGGTAACAAACAAATAGCTCTCATTTCTCAAATGGGATTTTTAATTAATTCGAACAAAAAAGAAAGGAGATTATTGAACTTGCAAAGTATTAGAGTGTCAAGTGACTTGGTTTGGATTTTAGTTTTGTGGCCAAAATATTTGCCTAGAAGTTATTGGCCACAAAAATTTCTTTGCGATAACGGACGCCTCATGTGAGGTCAATTTTGGTTTCCAAAACGGCTGAACTTGTCAAAACAGATATCGTAAGAATGGGTTTCTGGTGAATAATCCAACAAAACTCAGTCAAATAATTTCATAACGTTGATCCTCATTGCGTAATATATGAGAACAAAATATTAAATATCCCAATTTTCCAAGTGCTTCCCCCCCCCCCAAAAATTTTTTTTTTTTTTTAATTTCCTCGATTGTTTGATCTCCCAAGCATTCTATTACATTGAGCGGTTTATGGGGAAATTTTTTAAGTGCCACCTTAATTTGTACTAATATAATGGTGGATACATTTTCATCTTAACATGCTTTTTGTGATTGGAGAGACAATAGAGACAACATATTCATCTGGTAAAATAATTTAGAGGATTAGTGCAGATTTAGACATTAATTTGAGAAAAGGGTGTAAGATTTACAAAGATATATAATTAATTAATAACATTATAATATTTTCAAAGTAAGTCGCAAAAATAAGCTAAACGGATCACATTTTACTAAAAATTTAAAATTTTTCTATTTCGTAAGCAAAAAACGGGAGGGGTATGATCGCACCGATCACTCTCCTGACTCCGTTATTGTACAGATCTAATGTGATACAAATAAGAACATATAGAATAATGAATTTTATGAGTATGATTACCTCTTTCACTTGAAATAGCATGCTAACAATTTTATATAATGGTATGAAATACATATAAGACGAACTTAACCAAATAACCTGAATGGCCTTAATTAATTTCGTTCTACATATGTATGCTGCTTTCAAAGGAGGATGAATCTCCAGAAACTAGATACCATTGTAGTTGCATTATGCTTCATCAATGTTTCTTCGATACTAATTCAAGTTCTAGATTTAAATATATATATATGAATTTTTAATTTTTAAACTTTCTGTCTCCACTATATAAGAAGAATAGCCTATGATATCCTAACGCCATAACAAATAAGAGCTAGTCATTGACAATCAAACTATTTGTTCATGTCCAAAAATTATTCATAAGAAAATGAACGGCAAACCTAGCTCTATAAATAGCAAGTAACCTTATCCTACAACCAAAATTCACTGGCATTCGATAATTAGAGAAGCATCCATGGTACATCAAAATTCACTTGTGTCGTTATTAAAACTTGGCTATATTTTAAGTTAAGATCAATAATTATTTGCATGTTACATCAATAATATTGAATTTAATTTTACAATATCGAATTTAATTTTTCCCTTTTGCGGCAACCATAGGGCTTTTAAGTGAAATAACATAATCGGTCTTATCGAATCATTGACACTGATTTTAGGTAGGTACAGCATGGTCAGATGAAAATATTAATGAAGCTACATTACAAGTGAAATTTCAGATCAAACTCAAAATCTAAGAGATGATTATAACATTCTAAATCCAGATTACGTAATTGAACCAAGAAATTTTTTATCTGTATTCAAACAATGAACATCCAACACAAGTTGGTCAAACAATGTACAACAACGCTACAAATATTAAACTGCAATGTTGCTTATAACCTACCAGGAACCTAATAACGAGGTTCTCATCTCCATTATTGGTTAATTGCGCTTCTTTGATTTCACGGTCAATAAGATGTCATCACTGCGTCATGGAGTATAATGATGAAGAATCTGATTTGACGGTCCTCATCGACATCGTAGCTGCAACCTCCGATGTGGTCAATGGCTCTGACATGGTTGACAACGACGGCGAAGATCTGACCAATCTTAACTTCTTCAACAAGCTGCTGCTACTACTACTTTTGGTGCTGCCCTCCTCCTCCACTTTGACTTGAGATTTAGGTTGAGTCAATTCGTGAAAGTTGACAATCGAAGATTCTTTCAGTAGTATACCCAAATCAGCTCCGGCGTTTTCCTTGTAGCAAAGTCCGGCGCCAACGTTCAAGAATCCTTGGAATCGTCCGGAAGGACGGTGGACGTGAACCGTGGTGATCAGATTCCCAAGACAGCTGCTGAGCAGGCATCTGGCGGTTCCGACCAGGGAATCCTTCATGAAGTGATGCCCACCTTGTAAATCTCCACGTTGAATCCGGCAGTGGCGCTGTTGATGAACTCCGATGAAACTTGAAACAGAAATTTATCGTTCCATGTAGGGTTTTCGTCTCCAAAATCATCCGTTCGAGTTCTTAATTTCCTCGACGAATCATCCACCCAAACCACTGCATAGGTTTGTTGTGTTTTACTACCTTTGTTTGCCTTCTTCTTCAGATCTTGGGTGGAAATCAAATTGATTTCCAGAACTTGAAAACCTTTGGTCCCCTCCATCGGAGCCCTCATAACTAGGTAAAAGCAATGAAAGAGAAGTTTCAAACCTAAGAAAATGTTTTAGTATTTAGGCTTTCCTCTTCCACAGGGATTAATAGAGAGACCTTCTACGTGTATTTATATGCATGGTTTGAATTGTGGTCGGTACGTAACTACAATCTAGAATTCGATTCCTATAACTCCTCTTCCTTAAAGGAACATTGATGAAATTAAAACCGTGTGTAATGTTAGTTATGTTACTTAGTTTTGTTCGTTAATAACTTGGATTATTTCTAAAATAAAATTATAAACCATCCGTGTGCATGTTCTCATACGACCTAAGTAACGTGTGCTCGTTGTAGTTTTCCAATAGAAGACCGCCAAACTGACTACGTAAAAGAGAATTATTTTCTTTTGTTATGAAAAAAATGGTCAAACCTAGAACCTAAATAATAACATTAATATGTGGGTTAGATACGCCAATAATATTATATATAGTCAGTGTATCATACTAACGAGTTGTTATTTGTTAGAATTTTAACCAATTGCTTCTCATTGTATTAAAAAAAAATGATGTATGTAACACAATGCACATTTTCTATCACATACATGATACATGTCGTACTGAGATGAACCCGTTGGAGAAAGTAGAAGTACGTAACACATTGCACATTTTCTAATACATCAATCACATACATGTAGCAGTAATACTGAGATGAACCCGTAGGAGAAAGTAGAAGAAAATAGCGACTTTTTTTTTTTTAATTTCACAGTAATTATTTCGTTTATTGTATTAAAATTTTTGCACACTCATTTCAGGACGATGATTAATGTTAAATAATTGTTGAAGATGTTGACGTTGTTACTTTGTTCAAAAATTGAATTAAACGCTCTTGATGAATTTGGATGAATGGGTAGTTTTTTATTTAGATTATCTCAATTTGTAGGAATATATAAATGACCGATGGTTTGGCTTAGCTAGTAGTGGTTGGCAAGTAGACAATATGTGCAAAACGCATGGAGTTATTGTATATTACTTGGGTGATAGTTGTTAGGGCCTTTAATTGTTACTTAATCAAACTTAGAGTATGAATGGCTTGTATTGAGCAATGATCAACAAAACTATTAAATGATTTATATAGAGAAACCTACACCTAGATAACACCACATGGAATAATATCAATTATAAGATAAACCTAACTACACATTTATCACAACTAGAGATAATTACACTACAAAAAAAAAAGGTGATTACACACGGTAAAAGCATGGTCATGGTAAATCTGTGGTTATTTAGCCACGTATTTACCAAGAATTATTCACTAACGTTTGACCAATCTTAATTTATTTTTGTTTATAATTTAGCCACAACATTAGCCACAAAATATCCATATCTAAAACAACATCGTGATTAAGGCGTGGTTAATATTTTTCTAAATTTGTCACAGTTTTGTTCGTGTCTTATGGTTCGTATGTAAATCAATGGGCATTATTATAATTAACCACGAAAAAAGTGGATAAAGCCGTGTGTATATCCATTGATCAATATTGACCAAGCAAAAATTAAACATTAGACACGACCCAGGTGTTGTGGTTAAGTATTCTGTGTGAAAATTCGTGGCTAGTTTTTGAATTAATCACGAATACAAGGATAAAGCTGTGTGTAAAAGGCATTGATCAATGTTGACTGAGTACAATTTAACTTTCGACACCGTCTAACTGTTGTGGTTAATTTTTCTGTGTGTAAATTCGTGGCTAATATTTGAATTAACAATGAATTCACCACAAATACTTTAATTTTATCACGGTAAAATATTAAGGAGGTAAAATACATGTAGATTTTTTTAAAATAAGGTAAAATGTAAGTACCATCTAGTGTTTAACCACAATTTCTATCTGTGAATAATATTGTTCATTTTAACCAAAAAAAGAGTAATAGTTTGTATGTTTAATAGTATATTAACAAAAAACAAAGACAAGCATATTTATATTTATAGTTTAAAGTTTTCATGCATGTAAAATTTAATTTGTACATGAATAATATATATTAGCATATTAAGATGATGAATGTGTCAAAACAACATTAGTATAGTTACAAATTCTTAGGTTCAAAGATGATGGTAGTTATCAAATAGACGTCCGACACAATATATAATCACAAGTTAAGACAAGTTAGACATTCGAAATGAGACCAACTCACAAACTCGATCGTATCATATTTCTTAATGGGCGTACAAATGTGAAGCAGATTAAAGATTAATTAGATTGTATTTGATAAGATTTGTAAGCCAATCCTGTAAAAATACTTAGCCTAATAAGTATAAGTTTCATTTTCATTATCAAACGTACTTTGTGTAAGTTATAAACATTATTTAATTTTTAATTTATTATACATTATTGTCTAGTTAGTGTCAAAATGTCTCAAAGTTCGGGTTTAATGTAAAATTTAAAGATTATTTATGAGGTTGTAATTGAAAATGGCTACAATGATATGTCTTTTAAGCGGAAGAAAAACCTTTAGGGTGCACTTTATAATTTCGAGGATGATATGGGTTAAATTCTTTTATTATACTCATAGAAAAAAAATTGGAACTGAAAAAAATGCCCAGACTTGTCCCGCTTTTAGGGAAAAAAAAATGGCGTTGTTTCACCAAAATTTCAGCGCGCTCTTCTTCCCGCTCCGCCTTTGGGCAATTTAACCTTCTACCCCTTAGGCAAAAACTTCTTCAGCAAATCGATCGAAAAAAAACAACTTTACCAAATTTTTTCTCCTCCAAAACCTCTACCCCAAAATCGACCGATTCCCCCTAAATCGCCGGCATGTAGGCTCAGTCGGCGACGCTCCCACCGCCTTCGACTGCTGGCGGCCACCCATCTCTCAGATTTGTCCATGCTTCATCTCTCAGATCTGCACAGCCATTAGAAACACCTACTGGAGCGGGATTAATTTCTTGAAAAAAAGGAGCTACTTTCCTCAATTTTCACCGTCATTCAATCCTCATATACTTCCCCAAGTCTGCTACGAATTAAAAGAAAATTGGAAGCTAAGGAATCCGGGAGGGCAAGGCAAAATGGGCCAAGGAGAAGAGGCAAGGGCTTACTTCTCCCATTTGATTTATAATTACTAATTAGAGAACTTTTGTTTAACAGAAAAGGAATAAAAAGGGAGAAAGGGTTGCTGGGTAGTTGGTAACCATGGGTGGTGAAGAGATGTAGTTGAATTCCACTTTGTGTATTCGTATGTCAATGGTGCTTTGCATGTTAGTTTTTTTTCCACATTCATTTACTCAGGTACGGTAATTTAAAGTAACTATACGAAGGAGCAACCGATGGGATACATGAAGACCAGCATTCCAAATTAGAGGAGATATCGATTCATTCAACTCTTTTTACTTTAGACTGTGGTATGGGTCATTACCTTTTGTGCATATTCTTTTTAATTTGTGCAAGTATTAGTTTCTCATGAATAGAATGAATGATTAGTTTATACGTTCATGTATACATGTCTGAACATGCCTTTTTTCTCTTCCTAATCCTTACTCAGCATGCTGGTATCTTGAATTGAGATTAAGAAAATGCATACAGAGTTGGAAAATCCTGATTTAAGCTGTGTCTATTAAGGGGTCAAATATCTTCTCTTAGGTTTCTTTTGTTCATATATTTTGTACCAAACTCTTCCTAGGTTATCAAGGCTTGTTTCAGTTTATATGGTTTATCAATTGGCTTGGTGGATCTTTCAAACTACTAGTTCAAACAACATATGTTTGTTGGTCTTACTTTAGAAAGTGCAGAAATCAGATTCGAGTCTGCCTATTGAATGGCTCGTTTCTCCTACCTCTCGAATTCTTTTCTGGCTTTTTTTTTTTTTTTATATGAATCTCTTCTACTTTTAATCTACTTTAATTTGTTTTTTACGGATAATGAAACGTACTCTTGGTTTGCCCGGAAATCTGACTTGAACATGACATGTTCAATCACTGAAAATGCAGAAAAATCAGATCAGACTCCTTCTGTTAACAGGCCTATTTCTCTAGGGTCTTTAACTCTTTTCCAGATTTTCTTTTTGGAAACTCTTCCCCGTTTAGTGTATTTTAATGTTGTTTTTATGGATTATAAAACGGACTTACGGTTTTTTCGGAAATCTGATTCGAACAGGGCTTGTCTGTCATTGAAAAATCTGAATTTTTCACCCGGAAAATTCTGGTTTGAGCTTCTATTTTGAAGACTTGGTTCTTCTGATTTCTAAACCTTCTTTTCTGAACTCTTTTGATGAAAATCCTCTGTTTATTGTAGTTTATTGGTGGCTTCATGGTTTGATAAAACAATGAAGGAGTTCTGCAAAAATGATACTCCTTTTTTGTTGAACTAGTTGTATTGAGACGGATTGCAGACCCCTGGAATAGTACCATACATCATTAACTTAAAGGTCTTAAAACTTGAGATAACCACTCCTTTTTGTTCTTAAAACTTGAATTGCCGGGGGTTTAGTCATTCATGGAAATGTTGTATTTCGGATTGATTCTTTCCCAAGCCTGATTTTCTTAATCCCTTTTTCTTTTCTTTGGAAATAGGTTACCGTAGAGCCTCTCATTCAACGCAAAGATGATACTCTTGATGTACTGAAATCTAGTCTAGATGCCTTCCATAGGCAGACTGAACTGGTAATTTTTTTGTTTGATTCTTGATTAGCAAACGAAGTGATGTTAGTTTCATGTTTCTATCTTACATCCGTGGTTGAAAAAATTCCTATGAAACTCTTGCTCTGATAAAACCGCGTTTATAATTCATGTTTGTTGACTTCATGCTACATGGAGAATTCCTTTCATTTATTGTTAGGTAGTGGTCCTTATTGTTCCTTCAATGTCGGCTGAGTTAAAGTTCCTGCTGTTGGAGAGGGATGTAAGGTTGTAAGTTGAATTTTCTTGCTTAATCTCATTTTTGTGTCGAATTCTGAGTGTCAGTAGTGTTGTTTGTCGGAAAGTGATAGGAAATATTAAAAAAATTCATGTTACCTGTGTTGCTAGTGGCGTCCC